AAACCCTAGAACCAACAAATAAACAGAAATGTAAAGTAGACTTCTAACTCGGCTGGTGGCTCATACCTATAATCCTAGCTGCTTAGAAGGCTGAAATCTGAGGATCATAGTTTGAAGCCTGCCCTGGAAGACAAATCTGAGAGACTTAGATCTCGAATTAACCAGCAAAACACTGGAAGTATGGCCCAAGTGGCAGGAAGTTTTCTGAGTTAGAAGTTTGTATATTGTTTTTGTTTGTTTGTTTTTGGTCGGTTGTGGGGCCTGAACTCTGGGCCTTGGCACTGTCATCAGCTCTTGAGCTCAAGGCTAGCGCTCTACCACTTGAGCCACAGTGCCACTTCCGGCTTTTTCTGCTTATGTGGTTGTAAGGAATCGAACCCAAGGCTTCATGCATGTAAGACAAGCATTTCACTCCTGAGCCACCTTCCCAACCCCAGAAGTTTGTATCGTCTAAAAGAAGAAATAGTTGTGCCTTTACCAAATTAAAAATAGCAGGAAATGACATACCATGCCACTTTTAGAAGAAAGTGGATATAAATAGATTCCAAAGAACTTTATTTAATGAGGTGCAAATGACTATCTTCAACACTTCTAAATACTTATGAAAATAGGCTGGTGACTCATAAAGGAGACAGTAACACATAAAAAGTGCAAATGATGTGAAACGAACAAGTATACAACGCTGAGCAGCTATCCAGAACCACTTCTGCAGTTGTCATAGGAGCTGAAATGAAAATGGTTGAGAAGAAAGATTGGGTGAGCTCATCTCAAAACCAGATAAGGACCCATCAACAAAAAAGAACTGTAGGCCTATTTCTTTAATTAACATTGATGTAAAACTTCTCAATAAAATTCTGGCCAACTGACTTCAACAAATAATCAAAAAACTCATACAGTATGACCAAATGGGATGGTTCAATATACTTAAGTCAATTAATGCAGTTCAACACATCAATAAGAACAAGGACAGGAACCACATGATCATCTCGCAGAAAAAGCATTTGACAAGACCCAACACCCCTTTATGATGAAAGCTCTTGAAAAACTAGGAATCCATGAAACATTCCTTAATATAATAAAGGCTGTAGCTAGCATTATACTTAATGGTGAAAAGTTAAAACCATTTCCTCTAAAATCAGTAATGAGACAAGGATATCTGCTCTCTCCACTCCTCTTCAATATAGTAGTAGAATTCCTAGCCAGAGCAATAAGGTAAGAAACAAGATCTAAATAGGGAAAGAAGAAGTAAAACTCTCCCTCTTTGCAGATGATATGATCCTGTATCTAAAGGACCCCATAGACTTCTCTCCCAGGTTACTTGAGCTGATCCAAAACCTTGGCAAAATAGCAGGGTATAAAATTAACCCACAAAAATCAGTAGCTTTTCTGTATACTAATAATGAGAAGAGTAAGACTGGAATCAAAAAGCAACTCCTTTTGTAATAGACTCAGACCCTCTCCCCCCCTCAAAAAAATAGGAATTAACCAAAGAGGTGAAGGACCTCTTTGATGAAAACTTTAAAAACCTAAAAAGGAAATTAAAGCAGATTTAAGGAAGTAGTAAACTCTCCCATGCTCCTGGAATGGGAGGATTAACAATGTGAAAATAGCAAGACTGAAAATAGCCATTTATAACTTCAATGCAATAACCATCAATATCCTAACAACATTCTTCAATGAAGTAGAAGAAGCAATTCAAAAAATTCATATGGCCCTGTGTTCAGGCCATAGGACCGGCGCGCGTGTGTATGCGTGTGCGCGCACACACACACACACACACACACAATAATAATAATAATAATAAAAGTAAAAATAAAGTAAATAAAGGTTTTCAATGGATTAGTGCTAGTGTGCCCTTCCAGTTTAAAACCCTGTTTTAAGTAACTCTTATGTTCTTTTTAAAGAAATACTGGATAGGGTCATCTATGTAGCTTTCATGAAGCTGATTGATTGAGCTCTCAGGATCAATATGTTGGTTGGCACATATCAAATACTGCTGAGCTCCCTTGGCTGACAGCTTATGTCTACCTGCCACCTAACCCCTCTGGGAACCTGATGTGGAATCATTGTTACATAACCTTTTCGTTTTCTTCCAAAGAAAGGACGTGACTGAGTAATCATTTTCCCCCAAGTTCGTATATATAGTTTTCATTATTTCACTTTTATTATAGTGTTTAATAATGTTTATTGCTTTTCCTTTTAGACATTCTCACTAGAAATAGCTTTAGAAATTATGTATATAACCTTGTCTTACAAAGTACTACAGAATAAATTAGAAGAAATGTATTTGTAGCTTCTATAATAGTGTGAATAGGTGTTGTCTAGCATGTGTGAAATAACAAGCACTATTTGTTCTCAGAAACTAAAGGTCAAAACCTAAATCATGTAGTGCAGAGGAATAAGAAATCTGTGCCTTCAAACTGTGAGATTTTATAAACAAGCCAAATTGGTTTCAGGTTAAAATCGGTGTTGGTTGTAAATTATATCCACAGCACTGATTCCAAGGATGAAACAAGTGGACTCATGTTTTCAAACATCAGGAAAACACTACTTATATCAGTTTCTCAGAAGGTCAAGTCCTTCGTTTACCCCCTTCCCATTCATATTCCCTTCTTCCATGATTTTATTTATTATTTTTATTTTTTGGTTGATCATGAGGCTTAAACACTGTCTCTGGGCTCTTCAGATCAAGGCTAGTGCTCTACCACTTTGAGCCACAGCTCCACTTCTGGTTCTCTGGTTGCTCATTGGAGATAAGAGTCTCACGAACTTTCCTTCCCCAACTGGCTTTGAACCAAGATGCTCAGATCTCAGCCTCCTTATTAGCTAGGATTACAGGTGTGAGCCACCAGCACCCAGCTGTTTTTATTTGTTATATATTTATTTTTGTTCTAGTACTGGGGCTTGAACTCAGAGCCTGAGTGCTGTCCCCGAGCTTCTTTAGCCACTTGAGCCACAGCACCATTTCTGGCCTTTTCTGAGTAGTTTATTGGAGATAAGAGTCTCACATGCTTTCCTGCAGGGGCTAGCTACAAACCAAGATCCTTAGATCTCAGCTTCCTGATTAGCTAAGATTACAGGCATAAGCCACAAGGGCCTGTCCCGCCATGTTTTTAAATAATGTTAAAACAGTGATAAGAGGCCCAGTTTGGTGGCTTATGCCTATAATCTCAGCAACTCTGAGAAAGGCGATCATGAAGATGATATTTCTTCAACTGAACAGAAGATAGTGAGCAAAAGTTAGTGAGATCTCTTCTCACCCAATAAGGCTACTGTCATTCAAATGGGGTCCCATTTATAGAGGATGTACGTGTAGGAGGACTGTGGTTCCGTACAGCTCAGGCAAAAAATAAAATAAAAATGCAAGACCCTATCAAAAAAGAAATAACTAAAGCAAAAGAAAGAGAGTGTTGAAGGCATGGGTCAAGTGGTAGAATGATTGCCTAGCAAAAGCAAGACCCTGAGTTCAAGCTCTAGTGCCCCATGAAAACAAAAATGGTTGATAATATGATTTGGTTTCATTAGGCTGATTTTGGAATTCTAGATCATACATTATTTCAGTAAAATCACATAAAGGTGAGAACTCTTCATTGTTTTTTCTCCTTTTTATCAGGCAAATTATTTTCTTTTTTTACTTTTTGAATATTTTTATTATCTTTAAGTAGTTGTACAGAGGGATTGCCATTCAACAAAACAGCTTATGAAAACAATACATCTTGATCAGTGTCACACCTTTCAACATTCTCACCCACTCCTCACAACCCATCCCTTCCCTCACTTGTCTTAATCTTTTAGGATATGTATTGGATTTTTTTTGCCTTTTAACAAATCTATTTATGTATACTATATCATCCTTTCAACATCGTCACCACTGTTAGCCTACCTAATTCCTTTTTTTTTTTTTGTCGGTCATGGGGCCTGAACTCTGGGGTCTGGGCACTGTCCTTGAGCTCTTCAGCTCAAGGCTAGCACTCTACCACTTGAGCCACAGCACCACTTCTGGCTTTTTCTGCTTATGTGATGTTGAGGAATGGAACCCAGGGCCTTATGCATGCAAGGCAAGCACTCTACCACTGAGCCACCTTCCCAGCCCCTTTATTTTTCTTAAATATGTAGTATATACAACAAATTCCACCCCCCTTCATTTCCCTTCCCCTTTCCCCTTGACCACATCCCCTCTTGTAAGTACCCATTTGCTGGTACTTATTTTGTTGGGCACTGACTTGGTCTTTCTAAAGAATTTTACTATTAGAGCTCTCCATAGAGTCTTTTATACTTTAGTTAATTCATTTGCAACCACTTGCATACCACCCAGTGTGGTTAATTATAGATTTATAGATATAAATCCATGTGGTTCTCTGTTTCTCTGGGTCTGGCTTACTTCAGTTAATAAAATCCTTCCCAGGTCTTTCCATTTCCTTATGAATAGAGCAGTATCATTCCTTCTAATGGATGAGTAGAATTCCATTGTCACCATCATTTTTTCTGCTGAAAGGATTCCTATCAGTGACAGTGATTAAGGTGCTTATTCCAGAGCTTCAAAGTACCAAAGCAAAGTGAGTGTAGATGCTCTAGAGATAAGTAAATATATACCATGATTCATGGTGTATGAGTTCTCCCATCCTCTGAGCTCTGCAGTCTAGCTAGCTCTAGATTAGGACCTAGACATGTCTGGATCCATTATACACTTCTTGGCCCACATAGAAACAGTCACACCTCCACGTGCATGCACTTTGAGCTTCTCTACCTTTGAGGAAGCTTCCCTGAAGAGGCCAGGATTCATCTAGACCAAAGAGAAAAGTCAGATATTATTTCCTGCTCCATCCCCCTTGCTTTTATTTTGAAGGCTTTGCTTCTATTTTGAAGGCTTTTGATGAAATGTATTTTAATTGGACAGTGCATTTACAAGTAATGCTCTGTTTCTAGGTAATGTTTGTGTCAACAAGAAGCTTTGAAGTATCCCTTTTCAATTTGATTTGTCTTTTCCATTTTCTCTCAAGGTATAACATTGGCCTTCACAGGAACATATTTATTGGTGAACTTTGCTCCCAACATAACTCAAGCTATCTCTGCGAGAACAGTACAATATTACTTTGTTGGCTGGCAGTTTCTGCTCTATGTGGTAAGAATGCAAAATATTTTACTAGCCTTGAAGTGTATTATTCAGATCACCTTTATCTGCAGGTGTTAGAAAAATGGAGGCAATCTTTTCTTCTTAGCACAATACCTGGTTAAGAGGTAAATATACTTGACCAATATTGAAGTATTTGGAATACTAAGTTGACAGTAGAAGCATCTTTGAAAAAGTCCTTGAAAAGGAACAGACTGAGAGGAGCAAGTGATGATGGTATGAAGCTAAGAGATAAGGAGGAAGAAGAGTTGAATAAGCGAATGCATACATCTGCAGATATTCATTTGAAATTTTTATTTGATACAGTGACTATAAACAGTGGTCATAAAGAAAAGACATGGTCAAAATAGTAGATGGGTAACTCATTACAGAATTCAACCAAGATTGGAAAATAAGAAAATTCTAGAAACAGCAGGTAGTAATAAGAAAAGTGGGATAGTCTAGCTGAGCATTTAACCAAGAAATAGATTGGTAAAACAGTAAACTCAATAAAAAGAATAAAGCATCCAGAACCATACTTTTTAGGATTTTAGAAAAGGCCTCAAAAAGCTGTCTATTTTAGTCCTCTGTCATTTGGGTCCAGGGTCGAGGCCGGGGGGGGGGGGGGGGGGGAAGGGGGTGGGGGGGGGGGGAGAGGGTAGCAAAAACAGCCTGATGCCAGTGTCTCACATTTGTAATCCTGGCTACTCTGGATTTAAAGGGTTGCTGTTCAAAGCCATCCCAGAAAGAAAAATATGCTAGACTCTACCTTCAAAATAATTAGCAAAAAGTAGGACTGAAGACATGACTCAAGCGGTAGAACACCCATCTGGCAAGTATGAGCCCCTGAGTTCCACTTTTAGTACTACAAATAAGCACAAAAAGGCAAAGCAAAGTAGCATAATCCTACTTTTATGTGCAAATCTTTAAAAGTGCTATTTACAAGGGCATATGACGAGAGTTCTATAAATCTGACATCTCTATATAGTCTGACCACTGGAACAAAAGTATCCACACGTCATTTCTCCCTCTTTACCCTTTTCTCATATTCTACAAAGACAGTTTTTCCCTTTTTTTATTTATTTTTTCTCAGTTGTAGGGCTTCAACTCAGGGACTGAGCATTGTCCCTAGGCTTTTGCACTCAAAGTTAAGGTTCTACCACTTTGAGCCACAGTGCCATTTCTGGTTTTCTGGTGGTTCATTGGAGACAAAAGTCTCACAGACTTTTCTGCTGGGGCTGACTTCAAACAAGATCCTCAGATCTCAGCCTCCTAAGTAGCTAGGATTTACAGATGTAAGCCCCTTGCAACCGGCTGTTTTTACTGTTTAAAAAAAAAATCCTCAGACTAGAGTGTGGTTCAAGCAGTAGAGCACTTGGTTTAGCCTTTCTGGGGTCTCTCTTCAGACTTTGTATCTTCCCTGCCCCATCTTTTTAACCTTTCCAAGATAATGCAGTCCCTTAGCTATCACAGCTCTCATCGATCAACAATAAGCACTAAAGGAGTTTTAATCTCTGCGATCTATTTCTTCTTTTCTTATACTTCGTTGAATATTTCATAATAGACCAGACTTGAAGTCTTACCCACACATTACTACCTTTTGCCTCTGGGCAAAACAAATTCTCTATGCAATAAAAGAATCGTATAGCCTGTGATCAGAAAATTAATACCCTAAGTTAAATCCTTTGGAGACTAAAGATGCATCAAGTCTTATTTCCTGGAATAAACAGAATTGCTTAATGATGATAGGACTTGTTTTGACACCAGAGAAAACACCTACATATGTGTGTGTGTGTGTGTGTGTGTGTGTGTGTGTGTGTGTGTGTGTGTGTGTGTGTGTGTATTCTCTTGAGGTGTTAGTGGAGATTGAATGCAGGGCCTTATACATGCTAGGCAAGTGCTCTACCAGTGATGCAAGTATTGGGGCTTGAGCTCAGGACCTGGGCACTGTCATTTAGCTTTTTTTTTTTGTCAGTCATGGGGCTTGAACTCTGGGCTTGGGCACTGTCCCTGTGCTCTTCAGCTCAAGAAGAGTGCTCTACAGCTCCACTTCCAGTTTTCTAGTGGTTTATTGGAGATAAGAGTCTCACGGACTTTCCTGCCTAGCCTGGCTTTGAACCATGATCCTCAGATCTCAGACTCTTGAGTAGCTAGGATTACAGGCATGAGCCTCTGGCGCCCGGGTCTCATTTAGCTTTTTTTTTCTCAAAGCTGGCACTCTACCACTTGAACCACAGCTCCACTTACAGCTTTTTAGTATTTAAGTATTTGAGTAGCTAGGATTACAGGCATGAGCCACTGACCCAAACTCCTTTTTACTCAACCTTATACTTTCACGAGAAAATAATCTGAAATTAATTATAATTGTTTTGCCATTTTCCTAAATCACTTCTTATATTCATTCATTAATTTATTCAACTGATTAGGCACTTAGGTTATAGAGAAGAATTCCTACAGCAGACATTGTACAGTCCTGGAGAGAGCTAGGCTTCTGTAAAATCATACTATGATCATAAAAGCATTTTTGAAAGCAAATTCCATGTCGAAAAAAATGTAACTAATTCTAAATACTTATAAGATAGCATAAAAGAAATCTTTAATAAAGTCACATTTGAACCATGCTGTTGGCATCTAGCATCTGTATTCCTTTAAAACTTAATTCATTATTTAAGCGCATCTCTACAGACCCTGAGACTGATCAATACGCACTAAAATCTTTAGCTGAAGTTTGGCTTAACCCTATTAAACATCTTAGTAATAAACATTTAATCTTCAGATGTGGCAGAGTCTGTGCTTTTTCTGCAAAGTATGACTTCAGTGACCATAATTACACTAAGACTGTTTGTTCTTCAGCAAATAATTTATCTACCTGTTTATGTATTACACCAAGTATAAATGCAGAACTGGAATTGCCTTTCAAGACTGATTAAATAATTTACGAGTAAATATATTTTCCAAAATAGAATTGCAAAGCTGCATTCCGGACTTGTCCCTCTGATAACCTTTCCTGATGTGTTGACCTGGCATAGCTGGATGTCTGCCTTACCGTCTGTGTGGCCATCAAGTGAAGCCCCACAACCAGGAGGGCCAGGAGCTCATCCTCTGTCTGGTGCTATTTTGCACTAAGGGGATTTGAGAACCTGGTATTTCCTAGCTGAGAAGAATAAACTGCCCTTACTTAGGCACTAGCACAGCCTTTCCAGACCTGTCTGCCATAGATCGCGAGTCCCCTCACCATATTTGGCAAAAGTCTAAAGCAAGTGGAGTTTCAAGATCAAACTGCCAGGGAGAGATACTGCGTAACATGATCTGTTTGAAGAATCCATTTCTGGAAGCAAGTTAAGAGCCTAAGGAAAGAAATGGGTAAATAATTGTTGATATTCCTGCATGCCTAAACTTATTTGATGACAGGGCCTTGTTCTTGAAGGAGTTTTATTAGTAATACCTATTAACATCTTCTGCAGAGCCTACGCGAGAAACATAGCCCTAAGTCTTAGTTACTTCTTTGGCAGGCTTGATCAGGGTTGTTTTTTCCACCCAGATTGTCCAACTAATTATTCAAATTGAGATCTCTGTGGCAAACATAAAGTCCTTCATAAAGTAATCCACACAGTGATCATTTTCTCTCCTCCAGACCAAAAATTAAAGCAGCAGCAGAGACTTGTCTGTCATTTGGAGCCATTCAGTACCCCAAAGCTAATTATTAAGTCTGCCCTTCTGGCAAAGCTGCTTAAAATAACCACCATCAGGTACTTAGAACCTGAAGGGAAGAAATGTGTGTTTGTACAAGACATCGAGGTCTTCATCGCTATGTTCTCCTGCAGTTCTGTCTCAATGAGAATGGCGCTTTCACCTCTGCTTAAGGAAAGGCTTTGGCAGGATAGCTGCCAGCACTCTGAGCAGACAAGCATATGCACCGCTCTCACTGCACTCTGCTTTACCTGTTTAACAGCTCTACATGCACCAGGTATCCTCTGCATCTCAGTGGTTGGAAGCCAAGGCTTGGAGAGGTCCAGTCACTGGCCCAAAGCCACCTAAGTAGGAAGTAGAAGAGCCAGAATTCAAAGCTAAACTGTCCTCATCTGGGGTGGCTAGGTGGGAGCATTCCTCCAGACATCTCTCTATGCAGAACTAAGAAACCAAGGATCAAACCTTTTTTGTCCAAACTTGGCCTCAAAGAGAACCTTTGTAGAGCCCACTTCTTTTGGGCAAAGTAGCCATACCAAAGGCCTACAAGAAAGAGCTTGGTGAGACAAGAGGAGGTAGAGCCAGATTCATATTTTGGCACCAGACGTGGATCATCCAGTGACAGCGTTGCATGTCTCTTTTGCCACTTTATCCCCCAGTTTGCCAATGTCTTCTCTTACCACTGAAAACTGAGCAATTGAGCCTAATTAGACTGGAGGACCAATCCAGAAAACCCAAACTCAATCAGAAAACTCATTCTGAAGAATCTATTCCACTGGAAAGACTTCAGGAACCAAAACCTGGCTTCATTTTCTATTACTTCTGTAACAAATTCTCCAAAAGCAAGTGGCTTAAAACAACATAAATTTATTGCCCTATAGTTTTCTAGGCCAGGTCTCAGTGGACTAGCTGTTGGGCGGGTGGTATTCCCTGCCAGAACCTCCGAGGATGAACCTGTTCCCTTGCCTTTCCCAGAGGCCCTCAGCTAGGGTCCTTCCCACATTACAATTAGGAGGATTTGTGAAATTGCAATGGGCCCTCCTGAATTATCCAGGATAATCTTCCTATCTCAGGTTCATAATCTTAATAGAAGTGCCTTGCCATATGGGATAACATAGTCCCATGTTCTGGAGATTTAGGCATGGACCTCCTTGGAAAGCCATCATGCTGCCTGCCTAGGGCTGCATCATGTAATCCTTCGTGCCTCAGTTGTCTCATCTGTAAAATGGAGATATGGTGGTGAGGATTTCATAAACTGATGCAAATAGAAGCCTGAAAATAGCCGGGGTGCCAGTGGCTCACGCCTTTGTAATCCTAGCTACTGAGGAAGCTGAGATTTGAAGATCGCGGTTCAAAGCCAGCCCAGGCAGGAAAGTCCATAAGACTCTTATCTCTAATAAACCACTAGAAAACTGGAAGTGGTGCTGTAGCTCAAGCAGTAGAGCACTCACCTTGAGCTGAAGAGTGCAGGGACAGCGCCCAGGTGAGTTCAAGCCCCACAACCGACAAAAAGAAAAAAGAGAGAGAGAGAGAGAAAAGAAAGAAAGAAAGGAAGGAAGGAAGGAAAGAAAGAAAGAAAGAAAGAGGAGAGAGAAAGGAAAGAAAGAAAGGAAGGAAGGAAGATGAAAATAGTGTGCAGAGGCAGGCACGCAGTCAGAGTTATCATCTCCCTGACCTCACAGAGTGCAATCAGCAGTACAGTCTTTTCTGGGGCACAGCAACCTGCAAAATCACAACTACTTTAATATTGATATTTTCAGAGAGAGAGAAAATGTTGCAGTGGAAAAGCTAACATTAATTCATTCTGCTTTAATATTTTATTCCTGGGAGCTAGGTGACTTCTCAGCACAAGGCGGGGAGCCTAATACAACTATAGTCGTTCAGTGAATAGTGAGAAGTTGTGTTTTATTTCTCTGAAGTCTCAGAAATGGGGTTTGAAAACTTTTCAAAGTTCCACATGTTTCTTTAGAACTAGTAACAACTTCCTCCCCGTTAGCCCACCAAAAAATAAGAGTCAGCATGTAAGTGGACACGGCTTCTCCACTCCTGTGCTGGCTCAGGGAGAGCGCCTGAGCAATGAGCACAGGGCTGCTCTGAGGGTCCCTCGGAGGAGCCATGGAAGCCTGGGCTTGCAGACACCAGGCTGAGGGCATTCCTGTTAACCACTAGCAAGGTGAACCAAGTCTGGGACACCCAATATCCCAATGTCCCAGTGGCAACCTTAGGGAAGGCAAAGAGATGGCACTTTAATAGCTTTTTAGCATGGCTCAATTAAATTAAAGTCCTGGCAAATTAGTCCTATAAGGAAAAGTGAAAAACATCATTCTTTTAATTTAGCAGAAGACAAGTCCAAAGAATGGTCTAATTTTCCATTTTAGATGAAAAGGTTTTTAAATGAGAAAGATAACATCCTGCAGCTTCCCAAAGCCACCGAGGATTCAAGGAAACCAAACCAACACCAAAAAAAAAAAAAAAAAACACCTTCAAACAGAAATTGAAGTTGATTTAGAAGAGACTCTAAGTAGAATATCATCTTGGAAACAATCAAGTTCCTAACTCCAGCCATTTGTTAAGGTGGTTATTAGTATTTATTGAAAGGGGCTAGATTTAATATTCTTATAAATCCGAAATGCTTTCTTGTGCTCCACTCAAGCACAGCACTGATGTGCAATAACCTGCACTTAATGTGAAATAACTGCTGAGGGATGGTGTAACTGTCTGATGCCAGGATTTTGATCGTAACCTTGTAACATGGAGTCCACTCAAGTGCCTAACTCCCAACAATTTTTAAGAAAAAAGGTTAGTGCTTTTACTTCTCTGCTGTCAAGAAAGTAAACCTTCATATTTATGATTTCAGCTCAGAGATATCATCTCTTCTCAAAATGTTTGGCTTTGGGTAGGACTAAGAGTAGCCAAAAATGTTTTTGAATGTTAAAACTAAAACTGAACTCGAAATTATGGTTTGGTTTGGTTTTTTAGTTTCATTTAACAGGAGATCTCTTCATTTGGCAAAGATGTTCCTAGTGAATTTAAGGTATAATCCAGGTATTGATTCTACAAATATGTATTGATCAACTGTTGAAAGGCAAGAGTAAAATCAGACACAAATCAGAAGTTGATTGCAGTCATCCAGGGAAGAAGGCGGAGGGGAGGGGCTCAGGCCCATGCCACAAGTCCTGTAGTGAGGCCATTCGCCCAGGGGTCAAAGGCCCCAGAAGGAGTAACTTGAAATAGGGAATCAAGAGTTAAGTGTTGAGGCTGGGAAGATGGCTCAATGGTAGAGTGCTTGCTTTGCATGCATGAGGCCCTGGGTTCAATTCCTCAGCACTACATAAGCAGAAAAAGCCAGAAGTGGTGCTGTGGCTCAAGTGGTAGAATACTAGCCTTGAGCTAGCGCTAAGGGACAGTGTCCAGGCCCAAAGTTCAGGTCCCACGACCGACCAAAAAAAAGAAAGGTTAAATGTTGAGCACACTTGTAATCCTAGCACACAAAGCTGATACACAAGGATTGTGTTTGAGGCCAGCCTGGACTACACAGCAAAACTCAGTCTCAAACCAATCAAACATTAGCCAAGCATTAGGGTGACTCATTCCTGTAATTCTAGCTACTCAGGAGGCTGAGCTCTGAGGAGCTTTGTTTGAAGCCAGCTGGTACAGGAAAGTCCGTGAGACTCTTATCTCCAATTAACCACTAAAAAAGCCAGAAGTGGAGCTGTGGCTCAAATAGTAGAGTACTAGCCTTGAGCAAAAAGGCTCAGGGAGTGTGCCTAGGCCCTGAGTTCAAACCCAAGACCAGAAAAAAAAAAGAATCAAATATTACCCATGCTGGTGTGGCATTGTCTGTTAAGCATGCAGACATGTAGATAGTTGGGCAAATGAGACTGGTGCCACAGGGAGTTAGACTGGGAGAGCTATAGTGATTTGAGCATCGCTGGTGTTACATAGTCTATATGGCTGAAGCTCCTTATATTGTTTCCCTGTTTATAATCATCCCAAGGAATGTCAATCCCCTTCGACTTTTATGAGAACACTGTGGCATTCTGAAGACTTTATATAGAGTAACTTATTCTTTTTCATTTGCAGATTTTAGAAATACTAGTTTTCTGCATCCTCCTCTATTTCCACAAAAGAAAAGGAATGACTCACATTGCAATCCTGCTGGCTCTGGTGGCACTGCTGGGTAAGGGCCTGTGTTATGTTCTTGTCAATTTAGTCTGGCTTCAGACTAAGTTTTAAATGAGCATTCTACTCCTGTCTCACTGTTCCCATTTCCCGATAGAAAAACACAGAGTCTAAATTCTACAAATTATAGTTTGCATGCCCACTACCTAATATGTATTTAATTCTTTTTATGTGTATATGAGGACACCTAGAGTTTTACTGATAAAGACAACCAACGTCCTTTGCCTTTATTCTGAAATGTTGTTCCTGTGCCATAAGTTTTTGTTTCTTCTGAGAAAGCTCTGTCTTCTGTGCAACCTCCTCTTCTGATTTAGGCACGATTTATTCTTTTTCGGTGAGGATCATCTCCATGTGGCAGGGGAGCTGGTGTATGGGTTACTCTAACCATGAGCTCTGTTAGGACAGCATCATATCTTGGGTGCTTTGTTCACCTGGATGTGTTCAATGGCCAGAGAATCTCCATCTAAACTCTTCAGTTCAATATTACTCTGCATTTTTAAGGATGTACAGCAGAAATTCAGCACTCTTTCCAGGCCACCAACCTTGTTCAGCCTCCCATGGTTTGGCCTAAGCACACTTACCAACTCCACAGCCTCAGTGGCACACTTTGCTTCTTGAAAGTAACATCTCTCAGATACTTGTGGCTTTTTGTATATCCACATCTTTCACAGCCTGAACCATTTCTTGGGTGTTCTTAAAGTGACGGTGAAAATTTGAACCTCTTGATTTGCATGAGTTTGTGGGGTTTTCAAGGTCAAGGGAGTAGCAAACCATTTCTACAGCTCACCTCAGGCCACTTACAGGAAGAGATGTTTGTTCTTTTCTTTTTCTATCCTAGGCTTTGAACCCAAGGGCTCAAGCTTGCTAGGCAGGAACTCTTACCACTTGAGCCACACCCTCAGCTATTTAATTCTTTTTTTAATATATATGAGGATTTTTTTTCTTCTTGGCTGAGTATCTATTTTTTACTCCAGTTATTTTCCTTTAAAAAATAATCAATACATTATGGAAAATCTGTAAAAAGATGCAAAACTATATTAGCAGAAATATAAGATGAATAGGCGACTACACTCAGCTCCTAGAAGATAAAGAAATGCATAAAAATGTTAAGACAGAATATCTGAATATTTAAATCAACACCTTTTATAAATCCTGAAAATGCGGAGTATTCCTTCTGTCTGGTGGCTGTGGATCATCTTCAAAATTGATTTTATAATTGACCACAAAGATTTTATAATTGACCACAAAAAACACTCTTTGAAGTAGTACAGAGCACATGCTCAGGACACAGAAAATAATAACAAAAATAGAAACCAACAAAATCCTACCACCTGGAAATGTTAACAACGATACTCTCAAATTATAGCTGGGCAAAGTAGAAGCCACAACTTAATTGCACCATGTATTTTTAAAAATTATTGTGGAAACACTTAACATTAAAACATACAGTTAATGACTAATTCTGTATTTAGAAGATATTAATTGCTTTAAATGTAAGTCAGATCGCTCAGCTCAAGGAGTTAGAAAAATGCATGAACTAAAACTAAGGAAGGCAGAATGGAACAAAATTGATAAAAGCAATAATTAGTGTAGTAAATATAAAAATAGATTGATAAGTGCCTTCAACAATCAGTTCTTAAAAGACAATAAAATAGATCCTCTATCAGGTAAAAAAGAAAGATCACAGTACTCAAGATTAGAAATGAGATGTAGATGGATAGAAAAATTGTACAGATATGTGTATGTATTTAATACAACTAAATTGATTATATTTCTTATTTGTAAGAAACTTAAAATATGATTTTGTTGTACCAGTCCTGTGGCTTGAAATCAGGGCCTAAGAGATGTCCCTGAGCTTCTTTTGCTCAAGGATAAAGCTCTACATGAGCCACAACTCCACTTCTGGCTTTTTGTTTGTTAATTGGAGATAGGTATCTCACAGATTTTCCTGTCCTGGCTGGCTTTAAACCACAAACCTCAGGTCTCAGCCTCCTGAGTAACAAGGATTACAGGTGTGAGCAACATGCACCCAGCTGTAAATTATTTATTGTTAAAAGAACACAAATGGAAGAAATAAAGTAGTTGTCACAAAGCCATCTTCTAAAAACGAACCAGGCCTAGACATTTTCAAAAGTAATGTCTTCAAACTTTTAAGGAACAAATTATTCTGATATTGTTGGAACTATTTGAGGACATAAAAAGAAAGTTTTCATTTTTTAAAACATAATCAGATAATACTGGTCCCAACTCTGAACAAGATAGCACAAATATAGAACATTATGAACTAATTTCACTGCCAAATATTGACGCAAAAATCCCAAATGAAATATTAGCAAATGGAACTCAGAGCAAATCGTGCTTCATGACTAAGTCATCTTAATGGGACTGGATCTTTTCCTTTGTAACACTTATCACAATTTGTACTTACATACCACACCTTCTTTCCAGTGCCTGTGTGTCATTTACAAAAGCTGATTACATAATTGACCACAAAAATTGTTATTGTTATGATATTATCTTCCTGGCCAGATGAATTCCATGACGACACAGAATGTCCTTTGTTTATGCTACCTATACTTTACCTGGACCCACAATAGAGAGCACACAACATTAACTAAGAGGACAGTTCTTTTAAGAAATTAATTATTATAGTTTGTTATGATAATGTGTCAAAAGGAAAATACCAAGGTGTTGATCAAGTGATACAAACTTTGATTCATAAGATAAATATGTTCTGGGGATTTAATATACAATTGGTGACTAATGTTAATAATTGTATTGGATATTCAGAATATAAAGAAAATAGATCCTGAATGTTCTCAACACATACACACACACAGATAATGATATAAATTACTTGATTACCTGATTCTGATCATCACTTCCCAATATATAGGCATATTAACTTGTCATATTGTACACCTTAAATTTATGCAAACTTTTTATTTTTCAGTGATATTCTAACAAAGCTTGGAAAATGTGTAAAAAGGAAATATCATATAATTATTTCAAGAGTGGCCTTAAAGGCATATTCAAGTTTATGGTTTATTACTAATAAGGAACTGAAGGGCAGAAGTGTTTACATTGCAGAGGAATATTGCAGAGGAAAATAATACCAACCCTTCACTGTGTTTATCTTGCTGTTTGAGTATTTTACAATGATAATTAGTGATAATAATTTTTATCAGAAAAAAATGGTTATGAAAGTTATGTAATAGCTCTGAAAAATATTTATGCTGTTATGTGAAATGGAAAACACAGCATACTTACCTCTATTATGACTGAAAGCATGTCTGAAACACAACTAGAAATGAATTGGAGGGAGTGGATGAGTGCAGGTATTTTCTTTACTGCTGCTATTGCACTGGTTTGTGTGGTAGCATAGACAAGGGCAGTAAAGAGAAAGAGAACATGAGGACAATGAGCATGAAGGAATCTGGCCTCCATGAATGGTTTCCTTAGCTTGTGATTGTGATTGCCTCTCTTTTGCACATCTATATATCTAAATGCTTAACTGACTGTTTATAATTCTATCAATTTATTGGGTTCAAGGTGGTGCGTGATATGGATACCTATTAATGGAAAAATTAAATCAAACTAGTTAATATATCCATCACCACAGCTACCAATTTTTATGATTAGAACATTTCACACGTGTTTTGTTTTTGTTTTTTGCCAGTCCTGGGGCTTGAACTCAGGGCCTAGGCACTGTCCCTGAGCTTCTTTGGCTTAAGGCTAATACTCTACCACTTGAGCCACTGCACCACTTCTGGCTTTTTCTGTTTATGTGGTACTGAGGAATAAAACCCAGGGCCTCATGCATGCTAGGCAAGCACTTTACCACTGAGCCACATTCCCAGCCCCTCAAATATTTTTAATCTTAACACTTTTCAATGTTCTAGTCTTGCTGCTTTCTCCCCAATTTTTAAATGTCCATAGAATCTCAGCCAAATGGGGGAAGCATAGTGGCTTTGGGGGTTTTGTTGTTGTTTGGGTTTGTATGTGTTGTTGTTGTTGTTGTTTTGAGTTCTATGGCACAGTGTGGCACAGGGTTTCCTACAGGAATCTGAAGTCTGTAAGCATAGTCCTTTCTAGGATCAGGAAGCTGGGAGAGGCGGGGAGTCTTGCTCTATCCTTAGCACACTGTGGTGATGTAAACAAAATTAGCAGATGAAACAGTAACGACTGTGATCAGAAGACATGGATCTAGGATCCAGCCATCTAGGAAGTCCTTGGGATGGAGAACTAAGAATCAATGGAGACGACCAGATTTTTTAAATGGGGTCAGTAGTATATTGGGGAAAAGAATGATATTGTAACAGTAGAAGAATATGTTTATTGTTAGAAATTGAGAAGATGGAGAAGGTTACAAGGAAAAACCATAAAAATTATGTCTTGGAGCACTGTAGCACCGTTATGACAGTGTGACTGGCATAGCCTGGAAGGCTCTGTGCCGTTGTTTCAGAAGCTTTACAGTCAGTGGCTGTCAACACAGTAATTCCCCTCCAGGTGATTTTTCCAAAGGAAATAGGCAGAGTTGATAGACAGGTTTATGTTCAAGCCTCAATTTTAATATTAAGAAAAAATAGATTCAATTTATATGTCTGAAAATAAGCAATTGCCAAAATACATTATACATTTGTACAGAGACAGTCTTTACAGCCAGTAAAAGTCAGGCCTTAGAAGAAAACTTCATGGCAAGTAATGGCAATTGAAACAAGTTCCTAAGTAGTGCATGCCATATGACTCACATGCTATGATACTTCCTTCCTCACAAATATAGAAACAGGGGCTGGGAAGGTGGCTCAGTGGTAGAGCACTTGCCTTGCATGCCTGAGGCCCTGGGTTCGATTCCTCAGCACCACATAAGAAAAAAGAAAAAAGCCGCCGGAAGTGGTGCTATGGCTCAAGTGGTAGAGCGCTAGCCTTGAACTAAAGAGCTGAGTGACAGTGCCCAGGCCTAGAGTTCAGGCCCCACGACCGCCCCCCCCCCCCAAAAAAAACAAATATAGAAACAGTGATGCACTCAAATGCACTCAAAATGGTTTCGAACTGTTGAGATCACAGGTGATTTTAGTTGTTCTTTCCAGGAACTTTTACATTTTTTCTGAATTTTTTTAATGAGCTTATGTACTTTCATAGATTTTTTTAAATGAATTTAAAGTTTGTTCAAAGAAAATAGTTTATTCAGATTCTCAGTGCTTTGGATAACAACTGACATTATCGTAATATAGTTTCTTCTAGCCTTTTTTTCTATAAAAACATGAGTATTTTCTATTTTTATGTATTCTATCAACCATCTTCCCTCCAAAAAAACTTTAAAGTATTTGACACTTGCCTAAAAATACCTTGCTGACTTAAAATAAATGGTGACTAAGCAGTTGGTGTTGTTGTATGCTTCAAAAAATTAATGGTTAACTGGTTAACTATAAAAATTGATAGAAATTGATAAAAATTCAATAAAGAATTCTAACTTCTGCTGGACACTGGCGGATCAAGCCTATAATCCTAGCTATGCAGAAGGCTGAGATCTGAGGATTGCTATTTGAAGCAAGCCCAGGCAGGAAAGTCCACAAGACTTATCTCCAGTTAACCACCAAAAATCCAAAAGTGGAGCTGTGGCTCAAGTAATAAAGCACTAGCCTTGAGCACAAAAACTCAAGGACAGCACCCAGGCCCTCAGTTCAAGCACCAGGATCAAAAAAAAAAAATTCTAAGTGTGTTTTTTTGTTGGTTTGTTGGTTTTTTTTTAATCAGATGCTGGCTAAATTAGATGACCTTTAAGGTCCTCTGCAGTGCTGAGGTTCCTGGGCTAATGGAAAAGTGTGTTCAACTCCTTCTCCATTAATTATCCCTTGGGGAGATTCAGCTATTCAGATCACAAAACTATAGCCAACATGTGCTCCAGTTTCAGGCACAATGTTTGGAGAAGAAATCAGTATCCCTGAAGAGCTGACAAACTTAAACTAAAGTGACACACAGATCTCTGTAGATATTTTAAATTCTTAGATTAGCCAAGTTATGACTGTTGTCATGATTAATCAAATACAACATCTGAAATATGTAAAAAAAAAAAAAAGACCAGATCAAAAGATATTGTAAGGTGTAGCAGGTTGTAAGACCCTCTTGGTTCAGATTGGGGATTTATTGATAGAATTTGTCACCTGATTTTCTATGGTAATTATGTATTTTAACTGGAAGAAAATGTCTAACTTAGAAATGTGCCCTTGTCCCTTTCAGATTAAAGCATATTTTTAGGTTTTTGCAAAAGGAAGTTTCTTCCTAGTTAACTTTCATGTATTTAAAACATATCCTCTGTATATTTATATAGCATATATTTTATATGTTGTTCTCTTTCCTCATATGAGAATATAAAACTAACCGGATATATTATGACCAAATAGCAACTTAGGAAATATATGTCCTTCACATTGCCTGTGATTTATAATTATTTGATGCCATGTAAAAATTGTGAACTTTCCGTGAGTTTCAGCTAAAACATGAAATTGTAACATAACTTTAAGGGACCTGAGACAGATAGAAAATATTGTGTACTTCATAGAGAAATGTGAGAAGAAAATATTTGCTATTTTTTTCATACTATAACTATCAAGACCGTTTTTCTTGCTTTTTTTAAATTGTTGTTGTTAATTCAGTCCTGAAGCTTGAACTCAGGGTTTGGACTCTTTTCCTGAGCTTTTTTTGCTAGTCCTCTACCACTTGAGCCACAGTTCCACTTGTATGTGGGGGGTGTGTGTATGTGTGTGGGTGTGTGTGTGCATCTTTGTGTGTACGTGTATACATATGTGTGGTTAAAAACTAGAGTCTCACAGACTTTGTACTCAAGCTGACTTTGTACTACAATCCTCAAAACTCAGCCTCCTGAATAGTTAGGATTACGGGCATGAGGCACCATCATTTTTCCTAATTGCTATTTGGAATCCATGAAAAATTTGTTCTCTTAAGGGATAAGTCCCTCTTTAGCACAGAAAATAAACAGATATTGCTTTGTAAGTAGATTTTAGTTCACTCAGAAATGAATAGCTCTGGTCTTGTTTCTCATTGCTATCTTGCAAAAAGTATTTTTAAGGAAACTTCCAGGCATCTACTAACAAAAATGTTCACATTCAGACTTTTCACAGCTCTTGGTGAACTCAGAGTATTTAGTTTTCCACTTTCCAGTCTTCTCATCTATTTAGATTTCAATTTTTTAATATAGTTCAATGGTTTCCCATTAATGCCGCACTGATGATCCAAGTTGCCTCACCCCCCTCCTTTATCATTTTTGCCACCCAGTAGTAATTAAAACCTCCACAGCATCCTTTCAACAGTTAGGTCTAGGAAATAAGCATCTGGACCCCAAGATAGAAAGTATCCAGGCCCACAGTGTATCTCTAGATGATTAAAGCAATTTTGAGTCCAGCACACTGAGCAGTAAATTCTTCTCTATACCTCTTACAGTTGTTTTCATTCTGTAAGCATAAAATTGACACATTTGCTCCTCCACCAGGTAACCTTAAGCTATGTATCTGTAAATCTGGGTCAAATGTGTACTTTATTTATGTTTTTGTTTTCTCTTCCAGCCTCAGTGACTGCTATTTCAGTAAAAGCTGTCTCAGGCATGATCACTTTTTCTATGACGGATAAAATGCAACTAACTTATCCAATCTTCTACATCATGCTTATCATCATGATAGCATCTTGTGTTTTCCAAGTCAAGTAAGTTAGCTTCCACATACTCACTAATCTTTCAACGTCTCTACGCTTCTCTGGGCATTACTCTCTATTGGTTTTAGATGACAACTAAAATTAGATAAAATACATTTCTAAAGGTAAAAGGCCTTCAGCTTACCCATAGCCAACATGCCTTGCTTTCTTCTTTGCATCCAATAATACATTTTTACTAAGCCTTGTCTTCATGTCTTGTGTGTTCTTAAGTGCGGCCATAATCCAGCTAAGTGTGCTTTGATGCTTTCCTGATGCTCTTCTGCTTGTAATTAATATCCATCATACACAGGTTGTCATTAGCAATAAATCAAAGGGGCAAGTCCACATCCAGAATTTCATTCTAAATATGGAAATTTGTGAACCCTTCACCTTCATTTCTTAGCTCATGCTCATTAACTGCCCAGAGATGGACAAAACCAGACATTTGGCCGGGAGGAAAATCCTTTCTCCAGAACTTTGCATCTTTGGCCAGAATTTCCTCTGCACCCACAGGATTGCAGAATGATTGTTTTATGTTTCTCTTGGGTCTTAATAGTGGTGACATGGAACATTTTCAATTTCTGTGTTCGTCCCTCCTCCATCTCCATCTGCTATAATCACACACACCCCCATTTCACATTGTGATTATGCCTCTGCCTGCTGGGCTTAAGTTAGCCAAGGAGATTTCTGTTCACCCTAAAGTGCTATGTAAAAGCACCAGCCAAGTGCCAGCTAGGAAGTTAGAGTTCAAACAGAAAATGCGAGTGGTTCCTTCCATAGATTACAGAAGTATAGTCATTATTGGCTAGATGGAGGCTGTGGAGGGATCCTGGAGAAATCCAGTCCCTTTTGTTGTAGTTGTTGTTTTGGTTTGGTTGGTTTGAGGGGGAGGTGTTATTAGGGTTTGTGCTTTCTAGGCAAGCACTCTGCCACTTGAACCACACCTTCTGGCCTGAAACCCAGTGTTTACCATAGTTTTATTTGTCCCTTTCTCATATAATACTGGGTGTGCTTACAATATTTGAATCTTGCTATTGTGTTTCTTTTCTATTCTAAATTAGTTGATACTGCAGTGGTATGTTTTAGGACTGAGTCAGTATCATTTTCCCTAGGCTTTGCTTCGTGAATTTATAAGGCAGACACAATCGATGGTCGATGACATCTTGTGACCCTTATTTAACTCCCTGTCCCCATCACTGTAGAACTGTGGTCTTTGGCCCTGGTTGCCCATCATCATCACCTGAGGAAGTTTAGACATACATGTGAGCATGCATGTTACATGCATATCTCCCTGCAGTTATATGTCCCTACATCCATGTATGTGTGCATAGGTACTTGGGATTGACCCAAGAGATTTGTTGTTCATTTGGGTTTTTGTTTTTTCTAGTTGCTGTAGAGTAGAACCTAAGCATTGGACTTTTTAAGCGCTTAGGTGATAGTCATGTACATCTCTGCTTTGGAACACAGTCTGATCCTCAGCAGAGCAGCACGCCGCCGTGTGGGAACCTGATTCCTGATGGTGGCCAGAGTAAGAAGCTGAGCTTCCACATGTGCGCCGCAGCTGGAGCACTGAGCATTGTTTTTGAAACATTAAACATTCCTTTGCTTCTCCGTCTTCTTTTTTGGCACGTGGCATGTCAATGGATAGCTATACAATTCCCCAGATATGATATTTAACAGATTCTAAGGTCTATTCTAATGAATCAACCCCAGTGTGATACTGGTCCAGCAGCCTGAATCGCTTCCAACTCAAACTTCTGTGGCCTCGGAATATGATTAATTGCTTTTCATTGTTACTGTTGTTGGTTTAAACAGACCATAAAACCTGACATCTGATCTCATACATCAGATGCATATAAGCTATGACTGCTGATTGGAAATGCCCTTTTGCTGCACTTCCTTTCCCTTTGTACTTGAAGCTAAAGAACATGTATTTCTTGAGGTTATTGTTAACTTTTTGCTGAGCGTTTCTAAGCCCAAGCTTCAGTAACTGCCTTCTACTCTAGGTTCCTGAATCAAGCCACAATACTCTACACTACAACAACAGTGGTGCCAGTTAACCATATTTTCTTTACAACCAGTGCCATCATCGCAGGTGAGTCTTGGCTTTCCTTATGTCAGTGCTTCCACCCCAGCACAAGCATAAGTGAAGTTTCTCTCACGGTAAATAAGGGAACCAAGGAATGAGTGATGAGGAACAGTGGAGTCCATAGCCCCCCAACCTCTACCCAGTGTCTGAATTTCTTCTACTATATCATCTAGAACAGACCATACTATTGATGCTCTCTGTCTCCTGAGACAGCACAGTCTCATTATACATTAGAAAGTACTTCCTTAGAGGGGAGCTGAAACTAGTCTTCAAATAGTGAACACTCATCATGTTCTGTTTTCTGCAATATTCCCTTTGCCAGCCCTTCCAATAATCAAAGCAATTGGAAGATTCTTTCTAGGCTTATTTTGGCCAAACACACCAACTCTATGAACTCTTTCCTACCTGCCCTCTTAGATAGAAACGAAAACCTTTTCTTTGCTGGACTGCTTTCTGCTGTTGCAGATCTTATATTTTAACATCCTTTTTTATTATATTACAGATACAATAGTGTTTTTTAAGTACAGGTATGAAATTTGGGCCTAACCAAAATAGTGAACCAAAAGCAAATTCAAGTAGATCATTTCTAATCTGATATTCATATACCCTAATTCATTGACTTATTTGTTGTACTTATTACCGTCTCATCTTGAGGGTTCATTTCTCAATATAATGTTTCTGTATGTTGAAGCTAATTAGGGACTATCTACTTCCTAAACTACATGATTTTTTTTATGTTATAGAAGTCACTTTTCTTGCGAGTGGGCAACTTTTTAAAGTAATTAATTTTCAGTTTCTCAAAATTGAACCCTATGTTTAAAGAAAAAAACTACATCCCAAAACACCATTTTTAATATCTTTTGCTCTCTGATAAAAGAAAGTACATATTGACATGCTCTAGAATTACTAGAAAATGAAACTAGGGCAAAAGAAGAGTTACAAATGTAAAATGAGGAAGAACAATAAAAGGGATGGCATTGGCCAAGACAAACTGAGTGATTGAATTGTAGTCCCTGTGTATAACTACTTAAAGATAACAAGAAAAATAGGAAAAATTAAAATACAGAATTACCAACAAAATAAATATACCAGTAACCAAAGATGAAAACATAGTAACCATTAATATGCAGAAAGACACGGAAAGCTGCGTAGTTCCCTGAGCAGGCTTTCTAGGTGGACAGGAGGGCTGGGTCTCCATGTTCAGCACATGAAGTGACTGATAGAGATGTTAGGAGGTCTGAGACTTCCTGAGAGTGGTGACAGTTTATCTGATTGATATTACCTGAAGGACGGAAATAAACTTTACTAACTTCATACCCACTTACTCTTAGAAGTAAAAAACATCATACAACTGATATACATAATCATACATACGGATAAACATAAAACATGAATTTAACTATGGACCTACTTAGGAGAAAGGGAACGGGGAAATCAATAAGAGGGCGGATAAGCTTGAAGTACATTGCAACTCTATATGAAAACAGCTTAAAGAAAATTGTTGATCAATAGAGGGTTGGGGATGCTCGGAAAAAGAAACAGGCTCCATTTTAGGGAGGGAAACTGGTGGAAGGAGGTAAGGCTAAAAGGAAGATAAAGAAAAGGAATGGAGTCAAAATAGATTGTATCTATGAAAATAGAACAAGGAAACCTGCCGAAATTGTTTTAGGAAGGATCAGAGAGTGATAGAGGGGTGAGATTGTAAACATTCGTGAAAATGTCACGATTCCCCCTACCCATATAACTAATTTATGCTAATAACAAAAATAGAATGCATAAAGTGTAGAGAGGATGTGGAGAAATTAAAACTGTAACTTATGCACTGTTGGTAAAATGTAAAATATTGCTGCCATTATGGCAGACAATATGGCAGTTTCTCAAAATTTGAATTACCATATAATCCAGCAATTACACTTCTGAGAGAACACCCAAGAAAATGAAAGCAGGATCTTAAAAAGATATTTTTACATTTATGCCAATGGCAGCATTAGCCACAATAGCCAAAGGGTAAAAGAAGCCCAAATGACCATTGACAGATTACTACATAAACAAAACATGGTATAGACATTCAGTGAAATATTATTCACCCTTTCAAGAGAAAGAAATTCCAATTCATGCTACAACATGGATGTAACTTGAGAACCCTATATGAAGTAAGTCAATCACAAAATGACTATGGTAACATTCCATTTGTTTGAAATACCTAAAATATTCAAATTTACAGAAACAAAAATGTTGGAGGTTTCCAGTGACTATGAAAAGTATTAAATGGGGAGTTTGTTACTGAGAACAACTGAATTTTCAAGTTTTAGTATGAAAACTTTCTGGAAGTTGGCTGTGCAGCAATACCAGTAGTTTAACACCAGTTAAAAGTTGTTAGGATGGTAAATTTTATGTATATTATACTATAATATTTTAAATAAAAAAATGATTCTACACTTTGAAACAGAGATTCTACTTCTAACCAATTCTGATAACAACAAAACTCCTAAAACATAAACAAATTTATTGCTATTTTACTAAAGCATGAGTATTTAGAAACAAATTAAATTTCCCTTACAGAAAAGAATATCATGGTACATCAGCTTAGAATAACATGAAAACATTACAGTAATTACTAAGATGTAGCAATCTGGAAAAAGCTTCAGAAATGTTTATTCATTTGTTAGAGCTCGACTTGGCTTCTTCCGGTGAGATGCTCATTCTCTAAGTGAAGAGGTAAGGCTGAAACTAGGGAAGCTTTCTCACCTGGGGATGCGACTCATCCTGCTCATCTCTAGCAGTGGCTCATGGAGATACTCAGTAAATACTCACTGAATGCCTAGCAAAGCACCCCCCTTCTCTCCCCCCCTTTCCTTTTCCCTTTTCCTTTCCCTCCCTCCCTCTCTCTCTCTCCCTCCCTTTCTCCTCCCCCCTTTCTTCCCTCTCTAGCTTTCTTTCTCACACACACACATACACACAAAACTTAATTCCAGATGAGTTGTAATTTAAAGATATCTTGTTTAATAAAAGCTCAACAAAGGCTTTGAACCTTAAACCAATAAGAAATTATTGAGACCAACAGAGAAAGAAGAAAAGCTAAATGCACATGATTCATGCCTTGTATTCCACAGCCTAGAATGAGAAAACAAGAAGAAGGAGATGGGAGAGAGGTTGGCCAAGGGAAATGAAGCTGAGACCCACACCCCCAGTTGCTGGAGTGTCTTCCAGTGCCTGTGTGGCCAGGCACACAGACCCCAGAGCACATCCAAGAGTCACAGCAGAGATAGCAGCTGGCCTGAGGCAGGCTTGCCATTTCAGTAAATGGCCTCCGCTCCATCCAGGCTCTCACAGGCTTGCTGACCCCAGATCTAAAATCCCTGATGGAAAATGGTTTTGTTCTGGGGGGAAATCCTGGGCTGGAGAAGAAATTTCTGCTAACAAGCTACATTAATTTTTTTAATAATGGCAGTCACAGTGAATGAGTTCTGCAAACCTAGGTAAATCTTTTGGAGTAATTTTAAAGCATGCCACATAAATACTGTTTTTTTGTTGGGTTGTGTGTGTTGATGTTGTTATTATTGTACTGGTAAGAGGCTTTGAACTCAGGGCCTGAGTGCATTCCTTTAGCTTTGTCACTCAAGTCTAGTGCTCTACTACTTGAGCTCTACTTCCAGCTTTTTGCTAGTTTTGGAGATAAAGAGTTCCATGGACTTTCCTGCTGCGGCTGGCTTCTAACCACCCACAATCTCAGCCTCCTGAATAGCTAAGATTACACGTATAAGCCACTGGCACTCAGCTACAATACTATTGAATGAGCATTTACAAAGTAGTCATACTTGGAAACAATGTATCAACATAATTATAAAAACAATGAGTAACTATTACACATACTCCTACCCAAAAATTAATTTTCTCCTCTTACACAGGTATTGTATTTTACCAGGAATTCCTTGGTGCTGCTTTTCTCACCATGTTTATATATTTTTTTGGGTGAGTAAATATCTCATAGGTAAGGTATGTGAAACTCCTGTTACTTTTATATAGAATTTTTGGCATTGTATCTAAGGTATAGAAAATTAGAAAATAATGTAAGAAACACTGGTTTCCTGTGCACTTAAAGGACACATGTTTTTCAGCTTAACACTCTTCACAAGGTTCAGTGTCTTTGGCTTTGTGATTTGGGTCTCCCTCTGAGGGCCCTGAAACACTGGAGATTTTTCAGGTTCCTGCCAAAGTCAGAATAAATTCTGCTGGCCTTTGTAGTTACTCCACAGATCCCACCATGCCTTTAGGAACCCCTAAATTACATCTCAGTTTGAGAACCATGCTGCCTCTAAGATGGCTGAATGAAAGGCTAGGTGTAGAGTAGATCTGTAGGTCTAGGCCTAACAGCCTCAGGTGAGTAGCATCACTTTCTTGAGTTAGAGTGGCAAGCTTGACTACTCCTAAGATTGGAGGGCCTCATTGTTAGCATTGCTGGCAAACAGAGCAGAGCCTTGACAATACATCAGAAGCTTCTATTGGCTCCAACTGGCACCCCATTAATGCTTGCTTAGCTGCCTCTTGATCTGGTATTCAGCATAACCATTGTTATGCAAACTTGAGCCTAGACAATTTGCAGCATAGGAAACCATCTATCTTGAAAATTCAGTTTCATAAGACATTTGGGTGAGGCCAAACTTCTGGGGTCTGGAAACTATGACTACTCTTATGGCCAAGGACAATGAGATTTCTTAGAAAATTAAAGAATAAATTGTTTTTCACTCATGTTGCCTGCCAGTAATGGGTCTGGGCATGCATGGATAGAAAACGAGACCTAGTGTCTACCCAGAGGAGCCTGAATTAGCCTCCAGATGGGAAAAACCTGGGGCAAAGATTTATTGGAAACTGCCCAAGTCTTGGTTCTGGGTATAAATATTATTGGCTACAACAATTAAGACAAGTTCTAGGCAGCTTACCATGAGAAACAGAATAAACAAAATGGATAGAATTTATGTCATGTAGAATGTAGAGGTCAGTTATTTACTATCAAGATGCTTCAGAATTCTTGTGTTCTTGATATTTTCTTTACAGGTGCTTTCTGTCATTCCTTGGTGTATTTTTGGTGACAAGAAATCGAGAAAAGGAACATCTGCAACAGTCCTACGTTGATTTTGGAAGTGTTCCTGGTAAGTTTATATATACATATGTATGTATGTATGTATGTATGTATGTATGTATTTATGCATGTATATGCTCTTTAACTTACAGACACACATAGCCTTATGAATGAAACCTTTGTTGACACTATTTTTATTAACATAAAAACATTTTTTGCAGTGCTAAGGTTTGATCTCAGGCTTTCACCCCTACTAGGTAGGCACTCTACTACTTGAGCCAATTGATATATTATTTTCAAGGTAGGAGCTTGATTTATGATCAGGCCAGCCTGGACTGTAGTGCTTCCCTTAGTCACTGGGATGATGAATGTGTACCACTGACTCAGCCATTGTACTTACCCTAATAGCTTTGGATGATCACAGGTATGAAACACTGTGCCCAGCCGTTAGTTGAGATCGAGGGTCATGAACATTTATGCCCAGTCTGGCCTCAACCACAGTTCCTCAATCTCTACCTCCTAACAGATTAGCATCAGGAGCTTGAGCCACTACACCCAGCTAAAATATAATTCTTAACCTCAAAAATGTACATTTAATGAAGAAGCCAAAGATGTTGCTCTTATTATAAATAATAGTTTATAGTAGGTCAGTTTTGCAAAGAGCACTGAGATCATAAAAGAAGTGACCATGGTGGGTTTTTTTTGTTTTTTTTTTGTTTTTTGGGTCCAGTCGTGGGGCCTGAACTCTGGGCCTGGGCGCTGTCCCTCAGCTCTTCAGCTTCAGGCTAATGCTCTACCAACTTGAGCCACAGAGCCACTTCCGGCTTTTTTCTTTTTTTTGCTTACGTGGTGCTGAAGAATTGAACCCAGGGCCTCATGTATGCAAGGCAAGCACTCTACCACTGAGCCACCTTCCCACCCCCAGAAGTGACCATGTTTAAAAGTGTGAAAGGATAGGAAGAAGTGTGGGGAATGGCTTGCTGCAGACCCTTGCCATTTGCAGAGCCTCTGCAGTACATCCAAGCACTGAGAAAGGTTAGCCGCTCAGGAGCACCACTTCTGGGGAACACTCTGTGGTTTCTGCTCCATGGTACCAAGGGTGACATTATTCCAGTCACCAAAACCTGAATTGCTTCTTTTCCTCCTCCATACTAATCTCATCCAGATGAGGCCAGCATAGAGCATCTTTCTCGTCCTCTATTCCCTAGCTACTCAGGCCTATAAACTGCAGAATCAAATTCCATAGCAAGTGAAACAGCCCATTGTATCCTTACTGTTTCCCCCATCCAGTGCCAACCATCACTCAGTGTTGCTAGAAATTTGGGGTGACCTATCGATTTCAAGCTGGAATGGAAATACTCCCTGAACTTTTTACTGTTCCATTAGCATCATACCTTTGACGCAAAAATCATTAAGGTCATTAACCTAAGACTGAGAATACAATGCAAGAATTGGCATTCGTGGTGGTAATGTGCACCGTAGATGCCATGGTTGTTTGTGTGTTTTGTTTTTGTTTGGTTGGTTGTTTTGCCTGGGGCTTGAACCTCAGGGCCTAGGCACTGTCCCTGAGCTTCTTTGGCTTAAGGCTAATACTCTACCACTTGAGCCACACCACCACTTCCCTTCCAGCTTTTCTGTTTATGTGGTACTGAGGAATCAAACTCAGGGCTTCATGCATTCTAGGCAATCTTACTCTACCATTAAGCCACATTCCCAGCCCTAGATGCCAGGCTTTAATATAGCCTTGATGGGAAATAATTAGGTAGAAAATAAAATATTAGGTAGAAAATAAAGTTTACTTGCTTTTAAATGTATTTTTCATTTCACAAAACCTCATGGATCAGATTGGTAACCGTTTTTTTTTTTTTTTTTTTTTTTTTTAATTTTATTTTATTTTATTTGAGAACATACTGTACAGAGGGGTTACAATTACATGGGCAGGATAATGCATACATTTCTTACCAAGCATTGCATCCTCCTCCTTTGTTTACCCTTCACCTCCCTTCCCAGCCTCCCCCCTCCCTCCCATCCAATCATACCCCCCCTCCCCCCACCCCACCGACATTGTAAAGCTGGGTAACCGTTTTTTTTGAAGCCATTGTTACAAGCTGTTTTCCTGACCTGTTCTATGCATTAGACTTGACATGGAAAAGAAGACTAGACACTAAGAAGCAAGGCTGGAGATGTGCGAGTGCTTCCCATGAATGGGAGCTGAGCTCAGGGTGGGCAGACGGCTCTCTCACATGTGAGGGAGAGCGTGCCCACATATCAGTGAACATGGGACTCCGTGGGCCTTTCTTCCCTGACGTTTGTAAATCTTTCCTATTCAGAGGGTGACCACATGGTGGTTTGTTTTTTTGTTTTGTTTTTTTTTTAAGGAATGAAATGTGGCCTAAATTGAAGAGAAATTATTAGGACTTTTTCTTCTGTAAGTGCTTGAAAGTTTTTTTATGATTATTATCTCCACAGGGAAACAAATGTTGGACAAAATACAACCAGATTCAAATGGCTTATCCTATGGAACTTTGCCTGATGGAAGTGACTCAACAAAGAGCCAAAGTGGAGAGAAGAAAGAGGCCTGAAATGCCGAGAGGGATGGCTGTTGGCCTGTTACTTGATACCACCTTTTTAAAAAGCTACACATGCTCGACTTGTGTCAGCAGCTATTTCATGCTGGCATGTGCGAGCATTCGCTTCAGTTCTCTCCTCAATATGGACAGTCAGGGCCTTCCTCAGAACTGACAGTCCAGTGTTTTCATGGAATGTAATACGAGGTGTTTCCCACACCCTGGACCTCTCCCTAGTGATCATCTAACCAGCTAGGTCTTAATTACAGCCTGGCTGCTCAAGCAGGAATGTCATGCAAAAATGCACGTTTGCAATATTTGGCCATAGAAGGCATAAGTTGCTTTTCCCATGTGGCTTGTGGAGGCAGATTTTTGGCTTTAAAGTGATCTTAAGCCTACCACCTCTGTCCTGAAAGAAAGGTCTGACATTCCTTTTTTGCAGGACACTTTTTATGAGCCTTCTGCAACAAGCTCCTCTTTTTATCCCTAAATTAGAATAAGTCATCTCTTCTAAAAACTACTATTAAAATGCTCCTTTGAAAATAGAGGGCCTCTTTAAAAATCAGAATTTATAAGTGGCATTTGTCATGGCATATACCAAAACTCAAAAGATCTGAGCCTAAAATGACCTAAGCCTTAAGAAAAAAGAAAATATTAAAGCTGAGCATGGTTCTACATAGCTAGAATCCCATCTACTTGGGAGACAGATCAGAGAATCATGGTTCAAGGCCCTATCTGAAAAGCAAAATAAGCAAAAAGGACAGAGGCATAGCTAAAGTGACAGAACACTTGTTTAGCAAGTGCAAAATGTCCTGAGATTAATTCCCAATACTAGCAAAATGAAAAGAGGAAAAATGTTTAACAGAACTGTACTCTCTCCCACAGCACAAACACTAAAATTGCACCAATACAGAGATTAGCCTGGATCCTTTGCAAGGTGGTGGTGACCTTTTCTTCAGCCAGGTGATCCTATTATACTTGCATTGAAACTGAAGACAATCGATATGTCATGTACCTTTGTTGCAGACCTATAATTTATCAGGTCAGCTTATATGTTTTAACCTCAACACAAGTCCTAACAATAATCTAGTGATATTTGCACTATATGCCATTTCTGCCCCCATCATTATTTCATGTTTTATTACTACTTCTGTGTAAAAGAAGAATTATGATTAAAGAACAGATTTCTGCTGCTTAAATCTATGGACCTGAATGTAACAACGTATTCAAACCTAAGACTTGGGAGAAGGCTTTTTGGCTACAATTAATTCCAGGTCTAAATACTTTAGCAGGGAGATTCCATAGTGTTGTTGTTTATAATTTGATATGGAAATGAGAAGAGCCTCCAGTGTGGCTGAACAATAAATTCTGCCTTTCATATACCTTCATATGTGTCCTGACACATCACTCCAAAGTCATTCCAGCCAATTGTCTGATGCAGGGGGTTCAACATTGAGCTAGCAAGATGGCAATCTTTTTCTTTTCCAGTGTTGGTCCTAGGGCTTGAACTCAGAGCCTGTGCACTGTCCCTGAGTTTCTTTGGCTCAAAGCTAGCTCTCTACCACTTGAACCACAGTGCCACTTCCAGCTTTTTCTGAGTTGTTTATTGGCGATAAGAGTCTTGTGGACTTTGCTGCCAAGGCTGGCTTCAAACCACAATCCTCAGATCTCAGCCTCCTGAGGAGCTAGGATTACAGGTGTGGGCCACCAGTACCCTGTGCAAGATAGAAGATGGCAATTTTAACTGCTTCAGGTCTGTAATTTTTTTCTTCATCACAGCCTAAACAAACCACACTAGACTGAGATTTATCAGTAATGCATGCAAAATAACCCAGAGCCCATATCTGGCCTCTGAACTCCTGGTAACAATTCCTGTCATCATGGAAAGTGTCCCATTCATTTGGATACAGTAGTCAGGTAATTGATTCTTTACTAACTGGATGCAGTATGTTGGTGCTGGCAGGCTCAGGCACCTTAAGCTATCTTGTGTGAATCTCAGAAGGAAAAAACAAAAGATTGGGAAATAATAATACTGAAGAGTTTTACATTTGTAGCTTGAGTGCTAAGCTTTGAGGAATTTTTCACAAACATATCATAAGGCCAGTATGTTAATGGCCACCAACAGTTTGCATCTGTTAAAAAGTTTTGAGAAAGCCAGGTGCTGGTGACCCACGTCTACAATCCTACTACTCCGGAGGCTAACTTCTGAGGATCACTGTTCAAAGCCAGCCAGAAAAAAATCTATGACACTCATTTTTTTTCCATTTAATCAGCAAAAATCTGGAAATCAAAATGTAGATTAATTGGTAGAGCATCAGCCTTGAGGGGAAAGGTAATGGAAAGGGCTAGGCCCTGAGTTCAAGCCCCATCACTGGCACACACACACACTCACACACACACACACACACACACACACACACACACACACACACACACACAGAGTCAAGATGACATTGACTCATGTAATTCAGCAGTGGTTTATAAATCTAGGATGTATATAAAATTTATTCACACATGATCTTTTTGTATTGTTTTCTCAAAGTAAGGTAAATAGTAGCTTTTAGGGTTTTTTCTTTTAGGTACTAAGCACATGACAACAACTAAAACCAACCCAGTCCTTTTGCTGGCATTGTGATTGGGGTCCTTTAGCCAATGTTTGGCTCCCTATTTGTCTAGACCAGGATCTGGCAAACTTTTCCAGTAAAGTCTCAGAGGGTAAATATTTGGGGGTTTGTGTTGTCCACACAACTTGCCTGTCCCCACTAATTAGCTCTGCCACTGTGTCAAAAAGCAGTCACAGACAACATGTAAACAAATGAATATGGCTACACTCCAGTAGAACTTTATTTACAAAAGCAGGTGACTAGCCCATAGGCTGTAGTTTGCCAAAAAGTTGGTCCATACTCTGCTGCCTTTGCCATGTGATGTTCTTGAACATTGAAGAGTTTGGGGTTTTTTTTTAATGACACTTCATGGCTCATCACAAATCAGATACTAAGAGTGGGATTGATCGCACATTGGTATTTACATTATGATCTCTTTCTTTTGTAAGATATAAATGCAAGTGATGAGTTTATGCTCAATGTCCAAGTTTCCCTTTTTGAAAAGTAGTGATTCTTTTGTGAACATCGCAAACTACTGAAAAAGTCTCTTCTGTCCCACACTCCAAGTTTATAATAGCTCCCAGAGAGAAACAGGAGGCAGAATAAAAACAAAGAAAGGAAGGAAGGAATTTCAGAACAGAAAAGCCCGAAGAGCCCCCAACCCTTGCTGGCCACAAGGCAAGCCGCAGCCAGCCCAGCCGGGTAGGGGCTGCCGGAGTCCCCAGAGACATGGGTCATCTGCAGACTGCCCGTGCAGAAGACTCCTGAGGTACTAGTGCTGGACCCGCTGAACGTGAACAAAGAAACCTCGGAGCTGGGAGCCTGCACAAAGACCCCTCCCCACCCCTCATCTGCAGAGTGCACTCAGCCCCACAGCCCTGCAGGGGGGAGGGGGGAACCCAGAAATACAGGGGTCCACCCCCAGAACGCCAGTGCATAAGACCCTCAAGGTACTGGTGCTGATTGGACAAACCTCAGCCCTCAGAACCTGCACGAAGACCCCTCGCCCACCCCTCAGCCAGAGGCCAGTGCAGCCCATGATGCCGACCTGGACAGCAGCAACAGAGGCTGAGCAGGGAGAAACACAGGCATTGCCGCCACCGCCCAGCCCATAAGCATCGCAACCTAATGCAGAGTGCAGTGGCAACCAGCGACCTACATTGCACAGAAACAACCTCTGGAGAGTTCCCAACTAGTTCCAGGGTGAGTACCCCACAGGGGACAGCATATCCCCTCTCAAGGGAGACCAGAGCTGGTGGGACCCCCCAGATCCCTGCCCCAACACCTGGACTACAGGTTCCCCTAAAACTGGGAACTGTTTGAGCGCTCCACCAGCCCATGGAGCATAGCCAGCCAGCCAGGCTAGATCAAGAGCACCCCTGGAAGGAAGCTTAAATGCCCAAGCCAGGACCAGCACCTGTGGATCACAACCAGCAGCGGAAGAAACCCAAACTGTGTACTCCAGGCTGTGTAACCCAGGTGGGATACACAGCAGCGCAGGCCCTACTGGTGTGCCCCAGGCCGGAGACCGGGAGCCAGGTCCAGGCCTGGGAATTGGGTGCATGAGCAACACAACCAACTCCTCCAGATTGAAGTCAGAAGGTGATCACACTCCTCAGCAGGGGAGGGAAAGCAGGGAACCGCACCCCCTGGGAATCGTCCCTGTGACACCAAAAGTCCTGTGTGTCCAGGGCAGGAGAACCAGAAGCCCAAACCCCACCAGAACCTGACCCATATATCCCAGGCCGGGGATTGGACAACTCAGGCTGCCAGCACCTGATAATAGTCAGGAGTTCAGACTGGTAAGGTGGCTCAGCGATAGAGTGCTTGCCTTGCGTGTATGAGGCCCTGGGTCCAATTCCTCAGCACCACATAAGCAGAAAGGGCCAGAAGTGGTGCTGTGGCTCAAATTGTAGGGCACTAGCCTTGAGCTGAAGAGCTGAAGAACAGCGTCTAGACCCAGAGTTCAGGCCCATGACCAACCAAAATGAAAACAAACAAAACCAGGAACTCATAGCAGACTCCAGCAACTGGGAGAGTACGTCCAGCACACTCAATCTTGCCAAGAGCACCTTTAGGAGTAAACGGAGCAGTCAAGGCTGCTCAGTCCTCCTAAAGGCAGAAACTGCCAGTGATCTACAGCAGACAGCCAAGAGCCCTCCATACTAGCATCTGGAGGTGAGCCTCTCCCCCAACAGAACTGAGACCAGATACAGACTCAGCCATTCCAGGGCTGAGAAAGAGCTTCAACAATCAATCCAGGAACCAACCCAGAAGCAAGCAAAGACAGCCACTTATTGACCAAAGCAAAATTTCAGGTTAGTCTCCAATAATCCCTGAATCCCCATGTGAAAATCACAGAGCAAAGTTACAAGGTTTATCAACACCCAGGATAACAAGCTACCCCCAAAGCCAGCAGCCACCCAGGGGAGAGCCCCAGTGGAAGCAAAGCAGGAATGGAAGACACGTGCTACATCCAAGAGATGCTGGAGGCAATGACCCAAGAATTAAAGCGAGAATCGATCAGAAATTTAAAGAACACAGAAATGAAATATCAAAAGAGATGCAGGATTTCACACAGGGGAAGCATGCAAAAATAGATGCAGTACACACCTCACTAAAAGGTGAGAATAATACTCTGAGAACCAACATAGAATCCACGCAAACCACAGTGGAAGCCATAAAATTTAGAGTATCAGATACGAAATACAAAATGCAGCAACTGGAAAGAAAAAAGTCATATATGGAGAAATCACTTAAATTATGCCAAAGGGAAATCCAAGAGCAAGCAGACAGTGCCAAAAAACTTAACCTTTTTATTATTGGAGTGGACGAAGGTGAGGAATATCAAAGCAAGGGAATACAACACCTATTCAGCAAGATTATCAATGAAAATTTCCCCCATCTGAGAAGAGAACATCTTACCTACATAACAGAAGCATATAGAATACCTAACAAGCAGGAGCCTAGGAGAAATACTTATAGGCACATAATAGTAAAAATGATAGATCTGAATAATAAAGAAACAATCTTGCATGCAGCAAAAACAAAGAAGGAGGTATACTACAATGGGGAAAAAAATCAGAATCACTGCAGATCTCTCCACACAGACACGAAATGCAAGAACGGCCTGGGAAAGTACGATCCGAGCCCTGAGAACCAATAACTGCTAGCCCAGACTAGCCCAGACATTCGATGGAGAAACTAAATTTTTTATAGTAAAGAAAAACTATAAACCAGCATTACAAAGAATACTGAGAGGGGGAACACAACCTGAAGAAAGCAGCCAAGAACAGAGATCTTCATCAGACAGGTATTAGTAGAAGTCCAACTTAATAAGCACAGGAGGAAAGGAAAGAAGAAAAACTTAGGAAAATGGATTGACAGGAAACAATGCATCTTTCTACAATACCCATAAATATTAATGGACTTAATTTGCCAATCGAAAGAAAAAGAACTGCAGACTGGATCAGAAAACAAGATCCATCCATCTGTTGCTTCCGGAGACCCACCTCAAACTCAGAGTGAAGGTTGGAGAAATATCTACCAGGCAAATGCTCCCAGCAAGAAAGCAGGAGTAGCTATCCTGATATCTGACAAAATAAACTTTTCATTAAAACCAATACAAAAAGACTAAAAAGGACACTACATATTAATACAGGGAACAATCCAAGAAGAGGATATTACCATTATCAACTTATACTCCCCAAACACTGGAGCACCCAAATATGTTAAGCAAATACTCTCAAACTTACAGAATAAAATAGATCCCAATACGA